ACCTACCTCTCACTTAGGCCAAATTGTTGGCTTAGGGGAGCGGTAGGTGGGCAGTTTCCCGGAAACCTAAAGTGCTCCATAAAGCTGCGTGCAAACGGACGCAACAACTCCCAACATTGTTGCGCAAACAATGTTGGGAGTTGTTGCGTGCGTGTTGGCAGTGGTTTACAAACGGATGCAACAACTCGCAACAATGTTGGGACCTGCAGTGCATCTTGGGAAGGATACTACCCATAAGTCTTTGTAAACCATGCGTAATGAGCGTGCGCGGCCCCAACAATGTTGGAAGAGCTGTGCAAACGGATCCAACATTGTTGCGCTACGCTTCGGCGATCACGGAACAAAAGAAATGTTGGGAGTTGTTGGCTGAAAAATTTGACCGGTTCATACTCTACGCAACAACATCCAACAACATGCAACAGGGTGTGCAAACGGACGCAACATGTAACATCCAACAATGTTAGGAGTTGTTGGCCAACAATGTTGGGTCCGTTTGCACGGGGCTTAACATCCATTTTCGGGTCATACAGGTTCTCAAAGAAAAGCATAGCATGACATTCTCTCATTTTCATATCACTTTCCAGCTAGCTGGAATTTATATATCCCCCGTGATGTTAGGGAATAGAAGAGCAAAGGCTGATCTTCTACCCGGCGAGCAGAGGCCCTCCGATCTTCCTAGATAAGTAGGGAAAAGGACTGGGAAGATCGAAGGGCCTCTGCTCACAGGGTACCCATCGTCCCGTGACGAGTCCAAGGCTCTTGAAATCCAATCCCCAAGTTAACCATCGTACTAATCCGAAAGACTCCTGCGTGTCTTGAATTTGGTAAGACCTCTATAAACCGTGCTCGATACACGCTCTCAGCGAGGAATTTCATTTCACCGAACTTCGGCGAGCGCGTGCTCTCTTCAAAAACGATAGATCTTAGCACTCTCGCGTCCGAACCCGCCGGTTAATAATTACAAAGTCCGTCTACTTCGAGCGAGCGAGATCCCAGTCCCTGCACTAACTCGTGTCCATGCTTACGCGTACCCACTAGTTTAAAAAAACGGCTGACATCTCTCAGTGATTTCACTGCAGTTTTTTAAGCGAACTAATGAGCTATGGCTAGGTTTTAGGTTATTTCATGGATTAATTATTTTTCGTTTTTATTATCAACGATTATTCTGGCGAGTGCACGTTGGATTATATGAGATGGTAGGTAGCCAACGAGGCGCGTAGCGCCGAGTTGGCTATAATCATCTCATATCCAAAAAGCGCGAGTGGAATAATTGTCTAATTATGAGCCGTTGTCAGTAACTATCGAGAATCCGGCGACGCCAGATCAAAATATTCACTGTGTCAACAAAGCAGGCACGAAACATTACTTTCCTTGCACGGGTGTAAGAAATACAAAGAAAGCCTAAATCAAGATAAAATATATCTTGAAAGTAACTTTGAGAAATGTGCAGCAAACCTTGTAAAGATGAACTATAGAATAGTTTTCGTTTTTTCGGACAGCGTTTTACATAATTTCCATCAGGCCTTCGACCAGGTTTAGGCCGGAGCTTCGCTGGAGCTTTTGAATATTGTTTTTGAAAACAGTTTACCGAGAGGGTTTTTTTGGTGAAATAAAAAAAATTGGAATGTTTTGACGTGGCTTTGGATTCTCGATAGTTCCTGACAACGGCTCCTAATAAATCAATTATTCCACTCCCGCTTGTTGCAATTGGACATCATAGCGAAAATAACCAACGAGGCGCCGAGTTGGCTATCTACCATCTCATATCCAACGCGCACTCGTAAATTTATTGTTAATTATAAAAACGAAAACGAATTAACCCAAGAAATAACCTAGAGCCGGTTAGCCATAACTAATTAGTTGACTAAAAAAACTGTAGTGAAATCACCTTGTAGCGATATTAAAAAAGCGATATGTTAAAAAAGCACGCACTTGCACATCACTGCATCGCAGATAAATGGGTGAGGACAAAACATGGACCAGGGGTCCATGGACCCCCACTTTGGACCGGGTCCATGGACCACTTTCATGGACGGGTCCATGGACAGTTTTTTTTAATAATGAGAAATGAACAAAAACAGAAATAGTGCAAAAATAAGGTTAAAAAACAATAACAACAACAAACAATGCTTGATTGATCAGTAATGTTTAATTGTGCTTACATAGTGTAAAAAAAGGGGGGGGGTCGGTACCTCATGCCAAAATGCTGCTTGTTCCAATGAATTGTTTTCTCTGATGGGTAGATTATGCGTCGGAGGAAAACCTTTTGAATGAGCAATTGTGAATTTTTGTCGCTTATTTCATACTGACACGTCGTGACACATATTGATTTTCTACCTCTTTTAAAATGTAAAGCTGTTCATTGCGGCTGATTAAAAGGGTTTTAGGTTGTTTAATTTCTCCAAAGTGCATCCTGGATCTGAATAATTCTAAGCCACTTTCTTTTTGTCCATGAATGTCACTTTTTCCTGCAATGTTTTGTCACGCTGGGCCCAGCCCCTTAGCGCTTTTAGCAGGATGATTATAAATTCTCAAGGACTGAGTGATTTACAGATCCAGATCTCGAAGAAGAAGAAGTGGCAATGGATTGTAGCTTAAACTGAAGCTACATCAACTATGGAGAATTGCGATGTGACTCAGTCATGATTGCTCTAAAAGCAATGAATTCTTAACTCCAGCTTGTTTTTGTAAGGGTGATGCGAGTCTTCGTACTGGAGCGCGTAATTCCTCTCTTGGTGATAACGGCTTATTCTATTTTGCGAAACGAAACGAAACGAAACAAAATATATGGGAGAGGGAGAAAAAATGCTTATTAACCTAAACACAACTTAAGACAACGTTGACAATGTGTTTGGAAGTAATAGTTAACGAAAAATGACGGATTGTTACCTTTTTCGCAAAGTAGTCAATTTCAATACAATTACTATTTTGCGAAATGGCGTTTTTCAGCTTTATTTAGCAAATATGTCCTTTTCGTCTGAAACAAATTGTGTCCACCAATAAAATGATAAATATTTCAGTCAAACAGTCTAGGGACCTGTGATGTTATTGACCGTGCTAGAACTCATTTCGCAAAGTAGTAAGTTTTCCAGAATTACTACTTTGCGAAATGGAGTTTTTTCACCTTTATTTAGCAAATATGTCCGTTTCGTCTGAAACAAATTGTGTCCACCAATAAAATGATTAATATTTCGAAGAGTCTGGTGACTTCTCATTTTATTGACCGTGCTAGAACTTATTTCGCAAAGTAGTAAGTTTTCCAGAATTACTATTTTGCGAAATGGCGTTTTTTACCTTTTTTCCCCTATATTTGGCAAATATGTCCTTCTCGTCCGAAAAAAATTGTATCCACCAATAAATTGATTAATATTTTAAGGAGTCTGGGCACCTCTCATTTTATTGGCCCTACTAGAACTCCTTTCGCAAAGCAGTAATTTTGCCAGAATTACTATTTTGCGAAATTTTGCAATTTGTTGGTGGATACAATTTTTTTCGGACGAGAAGGACATATTTGCCAAATATAGGGGAAAAAAGGTAAAAAACGCCATTTCGCAAAATAGTAATTCTGGAAAACTTACTACTTTGCGAAATGAGTTCTAGCACGGTCAATAACATGAGAGGTCAATAGACTGTTAGAAATATTTATCATTTTATTGATGGACACAATTTGTTTCAGACGAAAAGGACATATTTGCTAAATGAAGCTGAAAAACGCAATTTCGCAAAATAGTAATTGTATTGAAATTACTACTTTGCGAAAAAGGTAAAAATCCGTCATTTTTCGTTAACTATTACTTCCAAACACATTGTCAACGTTGTCTTAAGTTGTGTTTAGGTTAATAAGCATTTTTTCTCCCTCTCCCATATATTTCGTTTCGTTTCGTTTCGTTTCGCAAAATAGAATAAGCCCTTTTGAATTAGCTTAATTTAGCAGTCTTGCGACTGCACATGTGCAAGCAGAGTGTACGTCAAGTAAGCACAACTAAATATTGTGATCAATCGTGAGCATTGGTCGACAGTGTCTCGTCAAATCTTTTTTGAGTGTCCAT